AACCCAGAGAGCACAGAAAAACCAGGCTTTTAGCATTGTATGGAAAGCCAGGTATTAACAAAAAAAGCAGCTAAAAGTTTAGGGAATTTGGGGGGGAGGGAGGAAACAACCAACAAAGAAAGAATCCTGCTATGTGATAAATCTGCAAAAGTGAAGAAAAATGCTCTTATTTGGACTCAAACTGAAGTAGTTCGAAGGCTGCACACTCCAAGAATTTGATATTATTTGGGTACACAAGGAGCAGTAAAGTGGGAATATGGGACAGATTGCTGCTTGGCTTGCTCTGAAATGCAAGAACCCCACTGTTAATTTCTTCTCTGGGAGGCCTTCTCGAGTTGATATTCCAGAAAAAGACACAATATTTAAAATGTCACAGCAATGATATCTGGTGGTCTGTGTGTGATTCTCCTTGGATACCAACAGGGCTTTAGTAGCAGATAAAGAGCCCTCCTCTGGAGTGGGATTTGAGGGATGCAAAAGAAGATATACTTATCTCAAAATTGCTATTTCTTCAGCCTGCAATTCTCACTTTTAGAGTAATTCTTTTGGCTGGTGGAGAGTCTCAACAGACTGTCAACTTTGGTTAACATGCAAATCTGTCACTTTGGGACGGATGACACATGGTCATCAAAAGGATGAGGTTACCAGTTACACGAAAATGAGTTTCAGTCGTTAAAAGGAAGGAAAGGAAAAGGATACAGGGAGTCTGCTACAGGGTCCTATGGAGTAGTGAGTGGGGTCATGGTGAGGAGCCCCTAGCCTGTAGGGGGCAGTAGGAGGCTCACCTGCCTTTGCTGGAAGGGAGGAAACTCCAAGATGGAGGGTGAGACGGCAGAGAAAGGGGAGGTGGGGGAGGGCTTCGAGTCGGGGAGCTGGGAGACTCCTGACCCACTTCCAATTTCCTGGCACTGCTTCAAGAGAAAATAAACACCGACCAGGTCCAGGAAGACTTTTGGCCCCTTTTTTACAGAAGGCATGCTTTGACCGATGTCCCTTTCCTTTTTGAAAGCAAAGCAGCCTAAAAATATTATCCCCTCCAGCCCCCATTACCCCAGCACACACCGTAACCCTCTGGCTTGTTACCATCTTCTGTTTTCTTTAAGAGTGCTTTTAATTAGATGTTAAATTGACAATAGCACCTAACAATTTTTACAGCTCTATTCTGGAATCCTTTCTCCGCCAGCATATGGAAAAACTATCAAGTATTACTCTCCTTCCTCAATGTTTTTTGAATTTAATGTTTTATTGCTCATTTAAAGCCGTCAACATCAACTTGGCCATGCACACACACAGTTTTGTGGTGAGAAGCTAGACTAGTTTGCACACAAAGCAATTAAACCTGGCAGCTATGATTCGAAAGGATGAATATTTTCCAGTTGTGGTAGGGGCCAATCATATAGGAAAGAAACCAGCTGTTTCATGTTAGTTCCTGATGTTGACTTTTCACATAGACGCTCATGTTGCAAAATTTATTTTCTGTGAAGACATACTGTGAGGGCATTGTGTCATCTTTGTTCCCCTCTTAAATCCCCAGTTCTTTCTGGAAAAATGAGAAGGAGTCATGTAATGGTCATTTGGCCCTGTGTAACTGTGTCCTGGTTAAGTGCCAACTCTGATATTATAATTTAGCTCCTTAATGGTTTTCTTCAGTAACATATTGAGCAAAATATTCTTCACAGCCAGATTGGGAAGGACAAGAATTTCCTTCATTTCACTCAGATATCCGCTCACTCAGTACTGAGCATATGCAAACAAGGGCTTTCTCCCAACCTCACACAATCATCATTCCCGTGAATTCCAGTGGGATCTGGGGGGAGCTTAGTCACGCAGGATTCACCTCCTGAAGTTGGTGCTTTGGTAGCAAAGTGAAGGTGGAGAATTTTTTTACCAAGGGTGTCTATATTTCTAAACTACACACACCGCCTATTGAGTGCTTAGGTGAGAGAATGGGGTGGCCCCGAGGAAAGGGGGCAGAACCTACAGGGGGATGTATGCCGCCTCCCTGTTGCCTGTGCACCAGATGAGTCAACATCTGCCTCAGAACCAGCACTCTTTCTGGAAATCCCCAGAGGACTCCACATCCTCCAAATCTGGATACACTTTACGATGTTACCCCGAGGTTTCCGTTCTATTCAATGAATAGGGCTGTATTCAAAATTCTCTCTAGTGCCTAGAGTTTGTGATTTCACCCCCACTAGGAAAGCTTCATTTTTTAAGCATTTAAGCTGCCTCCTTCGGTTCCGTGACCCCTATTTCTCAAGAGCAGCACAATCCCTAAAATCCATCCTTTGCTCCTCAGAAAATCAGAGAGAGGCTTAATTCAAGCACATCACGCTGTTGCCTGGACTGCAGGCTTAATTGGAACAGAGGCGAAGTTTTTCCCTCTGGCATAAATGCATGTAAATGGTTGATAAAAAATAGTTTTATTTTTAAGTTAGCATTTATGTAATTGTTTTGGGATCGTTTTAATGAAGGGTTAGGTCAGAAAACAAGTGGTGGTGTTTTCTCATTTTGCAGCAATAGAAAATAGTTGATCTAAATTTTTTCTTCTTCAGTTTGGAGGAAAAGTTCCACTCTGTCAGGTAGGTGACTTTTAAACAGCCGTATTGCTTGGCAGGGCTCATTCAGAAGTGATCCTTCCCATCAGTTTAAAACACAAAACGAATTACAAGGAGAGACAAGATACACAGCTTCCCTGGGTGCTGACCTTCCTGGCCTCACACTTCCAGCTCTTGAGGAGTAAAGCACTCAAAGAATCTGTTCTAAATCTCAAGATGTCTCGTGAGCCATGTGATGTTCATTTTACTAAGGAAATAAAATAAAATAAAAAATAAAAGTATTCAGAGCAGCTGGAGGAGAGAGGTAATTTGAGGTCATTGCTACACTTTGTCAATTAGTGCGTGAGTCACTCAGTTGGAAGGTATCATACAGAGGCCTCAGAGGAAGAGTTTATTCTAAAATGCCACACAAAAGGACAAGACAGTGGTCTTCTGCGAGCAGCTCACTAATGCCTCCAGACAGAGGCTGGCAAGCTACGACCCCCATGAGCCAGAGACGGCCCACGGCCTCTCCGCGTGGCCTCTGGCTGCTTCCACGCCACCACAGCAGGCCTGAGTAGGTGCACTCAGCCCTCACCACCCGTAAAGCTCAAGATTTTTACTAGCTGGCCCTTTACAGGTGAAGTGGGCTGACTGGCTCTCGAGAACAGGCCTGGATGTCGAGTGTGCTTTTATAGATTAGGGTAGCTTAAGGATAAATTGTGAAAGTCATATAACTGTAAAATTTAAAAACCAATGATGACGATGATGATAATAACACCTTTTATCTGTATAGCATCTCTACCTTCTCCGAGTACTTTCAAACGTATTCTCGGAGTTTGCTTTGAACAATTAGTGAGGTTATAATCTGATCAAACAGAGAAGTGTTCCACGAAGGTTGAGATGGTGTGACGGGGTGGAGGGTAAATGACTCCTCACTGAATAACTGAAGGAGAGGCTTTCTTTCAAGTCCCTGGTGTCTATGCAGTCTTGGAATCTCACATTATATGTAGCAGATGGTTTAAAGTTCAAGAATTTTAGATTAGGTTAGCGCTCGGCGTAATCCTTAGTTTTACGCAACTCTACAATTAGCAAAAAAGCACATCAGTGTCAAGGAAAGGACTTAGAATGGGAAGAATATGTGGAAGATGTGATCAAATTCTAGAATCACAGGACGCCAATATAGGGAACATGTTATGTGAGCCTGGGCATTGTGGAACATGTTATGTGAGCCTGGGCATTGTGGACACATGTGTTTTCTTTGTTCTATATTTTCTTCTTTAACACCATGTTTCCTCCCGGGAACCATGGCTCTTCAAGTCTCAGTTCATGGAGTTCAGGTGGGGCTCCCCCCCACCACTAACTCTGTGGTAGGCACATGACTCCGGCCTGGCTAGTGGGAAAACTCTGTCCCTCTAGCCACAGGGACTGGTTTATTGACAGATACATGACCCAACCCAGCCAATGGGAATTAGGCCTTTTGGACTTTTTGTTGGAACTACTGGAAACGAAGGCCTCTCTCAGATCACAGGGGCTAAAGATTATGTAAGCTTGGAGCTGCCAGCGTGTCATCTTGGCTGCTACATGGAGACAGTACCTAAGAATGAAGCCAAGAATAAGCAGAACCAGGAGATTGTGGGAGACACTGAAAGAGGAAAGGAGGCAGAGACAGAAAAATTGAATCCTGATAACATATTGGGCTTAGAACCAAATTTGCCCAAAGGAATCTCCTGGAATTTTCATGTACAAAGGTCAATAAGTCCTCTTTTCTCATTAACTAGTGTGATTTGAGTTTCTGTCACTTGAAAGTGAAAGCGTCCTGATGGATACACTGGTAACATTTTTCTGCTGATAATAACTTAACCTTTTTACTAAGAGGTATTTCATTCTAGTTGTGGACATGAGCAAAAGCACAGGGCTGAAAGAAATGTCTTCCATCAAAATCTGTTGCAGAGCAGGACAGGGCAGGACCAAAACCACACTGGTGTACCATTTCTTAATTCCAGTCTTAAAGATACCCAAGAATGGGGTTCTATCACTAAGCTTACGTAAGACGCTTCTCAGTTTTGTTAAGGGAGTTTTTCTTATTTTATGATGATATCAGGCTGGAAAGTATTTTCTTCTGAGTAGCATTCATGATGTTAACCTTCCAAAGATTTGTCAAAAATATCGTTTTTGATGTTTTGTTCTTTGTTGAGGTGGTGTTCTACATCATTCACAGACTTTTGGGCCAGCTTCAAACTCCAATGAATTATGTCTATCAGGTTTCCCTTTATTCCAACATTTTCTCTTCTTTTTTATTCCCAAGATATATGCATCTGTCTGCAGGGCTTAAGAAAATCTGCTGAAGTGTTGTTCTGTGATGTTTATGGATTAAATAAACAACATTTTCCATCTGACGTCTTTACCTATAGGAATAGCTGAAGTGCCATAAATTTATAGTTTCTAAGTCAAATTACTCACCAGTTGTGTAATTCAGCAAAGGCAGCTTTGATCTTCTTCACTGAACTATCCACTTCCTCCTTGATCATGACGCGATATCTAGTTAGAGACACGGTGCAGCGTTGCAAATCCTTCACCGATTTCTCAATATTTGGGCCTAAAATTAATGTCGAGAGAAAGCATGTTAAAGCGAGCACTTTATTTTTTTATTTTTGAGCTAAACAACAACAACAAAAGCAACTAACTCACCCCCTTCCAATAAAAAGAGAGAGATTTGTCTTTTGTTTTTCAATGGAAAGAAAAAGTTCCTTTAAGAGGATGTTTACAACCCAGACTGGGTGGTTGTGTGGCCCCTGGGACAGCTGGGATCTCACCAGTGGGCTCTCTGGATGGGCCATTTGGGGCACGTGTGTCTCCTCTGCCCTTTGGAAAGAGGCTCTGATCATTATGTTCTATTGCAAACTGTAGTTTCTTAGAATCTGATACGTCTAAAGACCATTTGTGCTGCTGGCTCTCTCGATAGACACCACTCTGCATAGTTTAAAGCCAGCAGGGCTTTTGGAAGAGGAAAATGACAGAGAGGTTGGGAGAGGTACAAATGGGCTAGAGAGAGGACAGAGCATCGCTGCCAGGTACCCTGGCTCTGGCCCCATCAGTCCTGAGCCAGGCCTGTAATTATAGCAGCAGCACTTAAAGCAGCTCTGTGGGTGCCAATCTTGCCTGATTTCCTGAAACTGTCACTAGGGTTTACAGACAGTGCAGAGCAAACAGGCAAATTGTACTTATCCCAACAAGGGCATGTTTCTTAGAAGAAAGAAATCTCTCTCAAGGAAAGTGAGAAGGTATAATCAAACCCAAGCCAAGGAAATCAGATGCAACTGAGGCTGAATGAGAAGAGTATTATTTAATCTTCTGGCAATCAGAAAGGAAGTGATTTAGCCCTTTTCATTTTTAATACCAGTTATGTGTAAAGTATATCAAAGCTCAAAAAGTGATAAAAATATAATGTGTCAAATATAAAACTCTCTTTCAGTGTATATCGTCTGCAAGTCCTAACACAGAACTGAATTTACGTGAGGAAGGTCATATCAGAAGAAGACACAGCAGCCTCTAAACTCATCTTCATTCAGTGCAAGTTCAGCACTTACAAGCTCACATATTGGGGAAACATTCAGCCTTCACATTGCTAAAAGAGCTCCTGCATTAACATTTGCTTTATAGGATGTAAGGGGAGAAAGTATTCGTGGTGCAAATTTATCCATGCCTACAAAGAGAAGAACGGCCACAGAGGGGCAGAAAAAGGGGATATAATTCCACTTAAACATTCCAGACCTTTAATTAACAATGAAGGAATCACATCTGGCTTTCAACCTATGTGGCTCACAGAAAGAAATGCAATTTCATGTGTATCTCTCTTCACTAAGCAGCAACTTTTGGAAAGTTCTGTCATTCGGGTACTCCTCTGTGTGTACAAAATATGTTGAATCATTTGTGCAAAAGAAATCACTTTACCTCTTTTCTTTGCCAACTCATCTGGCTTTATTTCAAGATGAGCTGCAGGGGCATTGGACTTAACAGGAGAAGTTTTTGCCTTAGGCTTGCTTGGGTTACAAGGCTGCTCAGCTGACCAGTGTAGGCCATCTGACCCCTCTGGTGTTCCATGTATAGGTTTGGGGTTCCCATCTAAGGATAGTTTCTGTTGCAGTGGTCTGTTGCCTTCTGTAAGAAAACACCAAATAATGACTGTGAAGTGATAAACTAAAAACACTGATGATAAAGTGATGGGGGATGCCGCGATTTTTGTTTTTGTTTACATGTTGGCAATAGTGCCTTTCACTGCAAACGGTCAAGAAACTGTTTTAATAGATGCCCCGGGAGATGAAAGGGTATACTGGAAAGAACCTTGTACTTGGAGTTACAAGACCTGGGTGGGTGTTTTGGCTCCAGTAATTACTTGCAGAGTGACCCCAGGCGAGCCATTTATCTCTGAGCCTTAGTTTCCTCACCCATAACCACCCAGGAAGGTCATTAGGAGCCTTACATGAGGTGAACAGTTTGTTTTCCCCCATTCAGTAAAGGCTTAGGCGTCTTTAACTATGATTTCATATTGAGGCTATAAAAACATAGCCCTCCCACCTCCAAGTGCTATATCAATGTCTTGTGGTATTTTATTCAGAATTAATGAAGGCAGAAGAGTGACTGGAGATAGGGCAAGAATGTAGTGACAACAGGTTCTATGATCATTTCATCTAATTTATAGAAGGATTAAATCAGGAAACATCATCACAGTAACTCAACTATATTTAAAATCTAGGGAGTCAGATTCTCTCTGGAGCTTTAACAGATGTGGCAATAAATTAAGCAGCGCATTGCTTTCAGTGTCTTTTAAAGGTAGGTTCCTATTTAGTTATTGCTGGAGTGAATTAAATGGCACCTTAGTGGCCTGAAAAGGAAATGTATCACCATTAACATCTTGCCCACAACCAGAGAGAGCTTTGGGTGTGAGAAAAGGGGAAGCCGGCATGCTTTTGCAGGTCAGGTTCTTAGAGAAAGCTGGGTGTAGTGGAAAGAGTGCAGGTTTGGCACATTCTGATCTTCCCGATGTCTGCATGACCCTGTAGGAATGACTGCACTTCTCTGGCCAACTGCAGCTTATACCCAAACAGAGCACAACATCATCTCTGTGACACCCAGCCCCCTTTCAAATAGTCACCCTGCCTCACTTCTCTCTACTCCGTGGTGCCTTGTAAAAACTTAGTGCATTATACTCTAACACAAGGTTTCCATGTCTGTCCCTTCCTTGCAGAGGCTATGACACACTTGAAGGCAGGTGCTAAAATCATATTCGTTTTGAAGCTCCAGTACTTGTGTCTAGGTCAATGGCTATCTGTAGAATTGTGACCGAATTAAAGTACTCTTAAAATGATTTCATAGGAAAAAAACAAGAAACAAAGAATACCTTTCCTGACACTGTCACAAACATTACAGAGACTACACTTGGAAAGTACAAAAGAATACGATCTGGTCCTCGTCAGTCAATTTGATTTTAGACATTTGCCCATTTATGATGGATAAATTTGACTTCAGTTGAATCCATCATTTACTACCTATATATTAAAAAGGCACAGCATACGTTTTTATGGGCTGAATACTGAGTGCCCTTTAAAATTTATTTAAAGGGAAATTACAGCATCCAATGAAATGTTCAGCCCAGGTGGTGAACAAAGTAAATAAGTACTGAAAACATCATTTCCTCCAGTAACAAAACAGATTTAAATGGTAGTATACAATTTTATCTTTAGTTATAATAAAGTTTGGAACTTCCCTGTAGAGCAGTAGTTGTCAAACTTTAGTGTGCATGAGTTTTCCCCCTAGTACTTACTGCAAATGCAAATTCCCCAGCACCACCTCCAGAGATTTCGATTCAGAAGTAGATCCAGGATTCAACTTCCTAGGTATTTCTGTTGGGGTGGAGATGGGTGGTACCTAGGTAGTACCACCCGCCAGGAGAAACTCTACTGTGAAAGATGAAAAACTAATTTTTTTGGGGGGGGGAGGGACTGTGCCCCATGGCATGTGGGATCTTAGTTCCCTGACCAGGGATTGAAGCTGCGCCCCCCTGCAGTGGAAGCATGCAGTCTTAACCACTGGACCATCAGGGAAGTCTCGAAAAACTAATTTTTTGATGAATCTATAAATGTTTTGTTAAAAGTAATTAAGTATAGGCTGGTTCCACCTCACTCCCTCTCTAAATCATAGCTGAGATTCAGGCCTGATGAAATTTTATAAATTGAGAATCTAAAATACAGTTCATTGTACATAGTATAGTAAATTATTGTTATTCTTGAAAATAAGGGGATTTCTATTATAGCCTAGTGGAAATAAAGACCTTAGAACAGAGGAAAATATTATTCTGTTGAATGCAAAAGCATTTTAAATGGAGGACAAGCATGCAAATGAGCTTGGGCTCATTAACCTAGAGCTGAAAATCTTTTGTTTGTGTATCAGAGAACTGATATGTGGGCTACTGGTTCATCATCCATCCAAAAACTATTTATTGAGAAATTTGAGTAGTAGTATCTTTTTAGGTCCTGAAAAGCTGTCTCATTAGTGAGGTCACTGAATGCTGGAAAGATCTGAATTCTCAAAGACTACTTGGATATATTTGCACACTGGCTGTACAGATCTGTCTCCAAATAAGTAAAACTCTAGGACTCTTTCAGATGAAAACTGGTGGAGAGTTATAGAACCATAATAGAAGTAGGTTCATCTTGACCACAAATCCAGATATTTCTAGCAACAGAATAACAAGAGTTCTTTCCTGGATACAGTGATTTTCCTCTAACATTATGGGCTAGAAGTACCATCAGTTTTCTACCTTTCTGGAAATCCACTTGTAGACTCCAATAGACTATAGTTGACTTGGAGTTGCTTCATATCGCTGTCCATTAAGGTAGCCATTAGCCACATGTGGCTACTGAACACTCGAAATATGGCTTGTCTGAATCAAGTTGGCTGTAAGTGTAAATTACACACTGAAATTTGAAGACTCAATACAAAAAGAGAAGAGTTAAAAATATTCCTTTGGGGCTTCCCTGCTGGCGCAGTGGTTGAGAATCTGCCTGCTAATGCAGGGGACACGGGTTCAAGCCCTGGTCTGGGAGGATCCCACATGCCACGGAGCAACTAGGCCCGTGAGCCACAATTACTGAGCCTGCGCGTCTGGAGCCTGTGCTCCGCAACAAGAGAGGCCGCGATAGTGAGAGGCCCGCGCACCGCAATGAAGAGTGGCCCCTGCTTGCCACAACTAGAGAAGCCCTTGCACAGAAACGAAAACCAACACAGCAAAAATAAATAAATTAATTAATAAACTCCTACCCCCAACATCTTCTTTAACAACAACAAAAAAATTCCTTTGATAATTAAAAAAATATTGATCACATGTCAAAATGATTTGGGGTATGTTGTCAGATAAGATATATTACTCAATTTAATTCACCAGCTTCTTTTTACTTTTTTAATGTGTCTACTAGAAAATTTTAAATTACATATATAGCTCACATTACATTTCTATTGAAAAGCACTAATATACACCAAAAGAAGTACAAGATTGTTGGTCTCTCTAGACTAAGAGAGTATTGATTTTAGTGCAACCTTAAAATATCCTCTGCAATTTCTACATGAGAAAAGTAGAGACAGTGATGTATTATCTTGTTCATCGTTACATGCTTGGTGCCTTGTGAGTACATTATGAATACTGAATGGATGCATGAATGATTGAATCAGCATTACTTTGGTACTGTGCATGCCTGGGGCCTTTCCAATTATAGGGAGCCTAGTTTGATGTGAGTCTCTGGCTGTGTCTTTATCCTACAGTCATCAAATACTTGAACCAAAGTAGCTACATCTTGGAAAGAAAAGTTCTCTCTGGAAACACCCAATCTGCCCAGATTTCAATAAAAATTATATACATTTTAATTTAATCCTTGTCCATGTATTTAAAAAATTGCTCCTAGAAGCTTATGTGTTTCTGAATCTATTACCTAAGCCTTCCTTTTATTAAAAATACTTATCAAATCCCAATATTTATATAACTTCTTGAGTATGGTTCTGGTTTCTGATTCAATTTAACTCAACAGACCTGTGCCCACTCACTGTGTGCTTGCCTTGGCTAATTCACAGGAGTTAAATGGGACATAGTCTCTCTGCCCTTAACAACTAGTATATAAAATTGAAAAAGTAATATAAGACTCCAGCATGATAAATCTGAATTGACCTTTCCCCACTGTACTGTCCTGGCACCTTTGTTGAAAATCAATTGACTGTATATATGGTATTCTATTTCTGAACTCTATTCTATTCCACTGATCTAACTGTTTCTCCTCACCCCGATACCACACTACCTTATTTACTAATTACTATATAATGAGTCTTAATATCAGGTAATGAATGTCCTCCAACTTTGCTCTTCTTTTTCAAGACTGTTTCAAGATCTTAGGCCCTTTGCATTTCAATATGTGTATTTCTACAAAAAAAGTCTGATGAGATTTTGACTGGTTTGCATTGAATCTATAAATCAATTCAGAGATAACTGGTTTCTTAACAATCTTGCATCTTTTGATCACTGAACATGATATATCTTCCCATTTTTTTAGGTTTTCTTTAATTTGTCTCAGCATTGTTTTATAGTTTTTAGTGTCTTGTGCATCTTTAGTTAAATTTATTCCTAGGTATTTTAGACATGCAAAATGTCACTGTATATAATTTTTTTAAAATTTCATTTCCCAACTGCTGGTTGCTAGAATGCAGAAATACAAATTAACTTTTTATATATTTGAGCTTGTACCTAAAACACCTTGCTACTTTCCTTATTAGTTTTTTGTTTTGTAGCTTTCTTAAAATTTTCTACATGGGCAATAATGACATCTGTAAATGAAGTTTAATTTCTTCCTTTCCTATCTTTCCTTGTCTTATTGGACTGGTTAGGAATCCTGGTACAATGTAGAATAATCATCCTTGCATTGTTCTTGATCTTAGGAAAACTACATTCAATATTTTATTATCAAGTATTATATTAGCTGTATGGTATATTTTTCATATGTTTATCGGTAAATTCTCTTATATTCTGGGAGGTTTTATTTTGTCAAGTGATTTGAGATGATCATGCTGTTGTTTTCTTTGATTTTGTTAATGCAGTAAATTACACTGATTGGTTTTTA